AATAGTTGTAAAGTTAGGAATAATTCTATTTCATTAAATATGTCGGACCATGTAAATGGTGTATTATTATTGAAAAAGAAGGGATAGTGCACTGCGACTTAAAAAATCTATTGTGCCTTTTAGTCGAATTAGAGTCTTTCTCTAAGTCCGATTTCTTTAATGAAAGACAGTATGGAGCCTATTTTTTCTAGTCTTGAGTCCTTATGATTCATGAAATATCCTCCTACGTGTTTCTTCCGCTTGTGCATCAGTGTCGGGCACTTCCCAAGTACATGGTATGAAGTTTCTCTCTCTTCTTCACAGTATCTGCAGTCTGAGTAGGATTAAATTCTTAACTTCGATAGGTGATTATTCAATCTCACAATAATTCTTAGATTATTTTTTGATTGTGCTATGCAATCTTAATAATCTCACAATAATTCTTAAATTATTTTTTGATTGTGCTATGCAATCTTTGTAGCGTTTTAGGTCAAAAGTCCCTAAAAGCATTTTAGATTGTGATAGTCTGGGTAGCTTTTCTTATAAGAATGGATAGAGTTTCTTTGCCTAGACCACAGAATAGTTCTGGGCCTATAATTCTTGAAGCCGCACCTCTTTTTGCAAGTTTGTCTGCCATTTCATTGCCTTGGATGCCAGCATGTTCCGGAATCCATATTAGGTGCATCTGATTGTTCCAGCCAAGTATGCTCAGCTTGTCAATGCACCCCCATACCAGTTTGAATGTTACCTGGTAGGTTATGAGTGCCGTTATTGAATATTATCATGATATGTTATAAAGATAATTAGTTTTTGATGCATTTAAGGAAGTAAATTAGAAAATAGACCGACTTTGCAATAAAGAATGTGGCATAACAGTAGCTATGACGTCGTAATTGCATCAATTATTACGTAGTTATCTACATTTTAAAAAAATTGGGGTCTGATCACATACTTTATAATAAAAAAAAGGATTTTTTACTCCAATAAAGTAGTTATGGTACATTCGGAACAAAAGTATAGAAATGTTTAAAAACATTGGAATGGATTCATACAAGTTGAAGAATAGGAATGAGTAAGAGAAATAATTTCATTCATGGAATAGTTGAAACAAATGAAAGCGATTTTTAACTGAACTGAATGAAATGAATACGTTTCCTGGCAATGATCAACAAATTTAAATCAGTTATAAAAAGTTATTAAGAAACCATGTGCTCGTTTGTGGTTACCGATTTTTCAATTAAACTATAATTCACGCAAACGTATTCGTAGACAAAAAGCAGTTGACGAATTTTTCGTTTGCGATAAAGGAAATAGAATAAAAAACAGTTGAGATTTTTTTTTTGTTTGTAGTAAATGAAATCATTTTCGGACTGACCTATATACTAACCTATCAATCGTAAAATATTTGAAGAAAGTGTAGATTCAATTATATAAGCACTATTGATGCCTCCAAGAAAAGTATCCATGAAAAGGTTTATAAATATTTTTAAAATTTTTAAGTAACATATTTCCTAAAATATTCGAACAGAGTATCTTCAGTTTTCAGTGTAAATATTTTTGTTTAATTATTTTGCATATTATTTGAGACTTTAGTTTGTATTTGGAAAAACTTTGAAAAAATTATTTTCTGCGAAAGACATATTGCACAAATTCCCTAGTACATATGAGTACTTATAAATAGATATGTACATTTGCAAAAGAAAAAATGCAAATAAAAGCATTTCTTAGCTCGCTTTAAATGACGATTGCAAGGAGGAAACGCTATGTGATTAAAGCACAATTCATTTGCAGAAAATATATGTAAGATAAAAAATTAATTATGTTTTCATGTATTTGTTTTATACACAAATAACTATTATTCACTTTCAGCTCGGATTTGTTAACAACTCCCAATACGAGAATGTATTTACGAATGATTAAATTAGCTTTATTCAAATTTTCCTAAGCATTCTCCACAATTCCCAGTATTTTATTATATTATTGTTAGGGAACGTGGCACTGCGACCGTCGGGTCTATTGTGCGCTCTTCTGGATTTTGGAGTAGGTCTGTAAGCCCTGTTGCGTCAATTAAAAGTAGTATAGAACCTACTTTACAGAGTTTTATTGCTTCTTCCGTAAGAATATACATTCCCAGGAGTCTATTCTGTATGTGCATTAGCGATAGGCATTCTAACAGCACATGTGTAACCGACTTCTCATTCTCTTCACAGAGTCTACAGTTTGCTTCTGTATATTTACTCAGTCTTGTATGGTAGTATTTCAGTTTACAATGCCCTGTTATGATTCCTTTGATGATTCTAAGTTTTTCTTTTGATAGGTTCATACAATATTGGTATCTCTTATTGTTATAGGTACCAAGAAGTGATTTGGATTGTTTTAATCCTGGTATATTATCCCAGTAATCTTTTTTATTCTGGTTCTCCTTTATTTTTATGATAGAAAGAAGCGACTATGTCCTAGTCCACAAAAAGGTTCCGGCCCCATCATCGGTGTGGCTGTTCCTTTCCTGGTTAGTTTGTCCGCGTATTCGGTTCCGCGTGCGCCAGTATGTCCCGTTGCTCAAAGAATCAACATCTGATTTGAATCGCCAAGGAGATTTAGCTTATCAAAGCAGTCTAGCACCAGTCTTGGGGTCATCTGATGCGAGTTTAATGCTTTGATCGCCGCTTGGCTGTCTGTCAGTATTGCGATATTTTTACCCTGGTAATTCCGTTCAATATTGATGAATACGCAATTTAAAATTGGAAGATGCTAGTATTTTTTTCCAGCGCTTCCCAATGTTTTTTCCTGGTCCGACTATGCCCGCTCCGGCACCTACTTCCGTAAGCGATCCATCAGTGATTGCTTACTATGCGATTGTGCTATTCGTTAGCTGATAGGTTTGATTAATGCCCTCCCATCTTCTTTTGTTACTTTGTTCAGTTTTTAAAGGCTTAGGTAAGCTGAACTTAGGATTCATCGTATCCCATGGCATTGAAAATTCCGCACGCTGCTTGGTAAAAAACCCCAGTATCCCATTATTAAGTTTTTATTAATGCAGGACTTTTAATGAAATTTTTTCAAATTTTTTCTCGTCGGACAAAAGTTTTGAATAAATAAATACACTAATCTTCATTTTAAATAAATATTTATATTTTTATTTAATTACACTCGCATAGATACAAATGGAGAGAAATCAAATCTATTATCTATCATTTCATATTTAAGACCATCATTTCAAAAAAATTATTTCAAAACTTATCGTTGGGTTCCAACTGCATTTTTGTATATATGTACATAACAAAGTGTTTAAAATAAAATTTTCTTTTAATGTTTCTTTTAAGTTTTGATTAAATATTTTATGATAAGCAATAACAAATATAGTGTAATTTATTTCCATTAGTAGTAGCAATCAAGAAACTAAAAGGTCAATGAACGCTAAACTACTTTGCCCTAGTTTAGCGCGAAAATCTTTGATATTTTTTGCAGCATTTAAATAAATAAACAAGAATTAAAAATCTAAAAAATAAAAAAATAAAATAATTATATGTATTAATAAAAATATTATCAGAGCAAATGTGAGCACAGTTCATTAGAACCATACTCAAATAAGTTATACAAACACATATGTGTCTAAGTATTTAGAATTTTTAAAGATACATTAAGACCGAAAAGTTTTCGGAAATTCTCATTTAAAATTCGCGCGCTGTATATTTTTCGATATTTTAAGTTTATGTAGTTTGGCAGCACTGTCCTTAATTACTATGCCAAAAATGAGCGCGATCTGTCAGACAGTTCGTTTACGGCAGCTGTTGAAACCAGTTCACCTCAGTAGGGCGTTGCGAAAAAAACAATGGAAAAAAATATTGAACAAAGAGTTTGCATCAAATTTTGTGTTTCGAACGAAATTTCGTGTGCAGAATCGTTGCGAATGCTACAAAAGGCTTATGGGGAATCAGTTTTATCGAAAACTCAAGTTTATGAGTGGTACAAAGCCTTCCAGGACGGTCGTACGACCGTCGAAGACATTTCGCAACGCACTACTGAGGTGAACTGGTTTCAACAGCTGCCGTAAACGAACTGTCTGACAGATCGAGCTCATTTTTGGCATAGTAATTAAGGACAGTGCTGCCAAACTACATAAACTTAAAATATCGAAAAATATACAGCGCGCGAATTTTAAATGAGAATTTCCGAAAACTTTTCAGTCTTAATGTACTTGACATAACATAAGCCCAACAGTTCGAGCGACCCGCAAATGGAATAATAGACTTCGTGTTTGCGGACATACAAATTAGCATTTACTTTAATTATGTGAAGTAGTCTGATTAGAGTATTGAAATAGCTAAACTGATAAAGAAGGATCATGTTACTTATCATGTATTATGTTTGATACTCTTATATCGAATAGCTACTTGCACTTCGTGTAAGAGCATAGCTTTCAAAAAATAATGTAAGCAACATGGCTGTAGAGATGATAACTAAAATGAGTACTATAAACATTAGATATTAGAATATGTATAAAATTGAGATTGTGTGGCTTATATTTAATTTCTTCTATTTACGAATACTGTATTCTATATCTAACTCATTGTGTTGATTATCAGTATTAGGTCATCTGTATATTTCAGCTTAACAACAAAATGCAAAACGATATATAAATTTTGATAAAATAAGAAACCCAGATAAGCAAAAACAATCCTTTGAGGTGCTTATAAAATTTATGACCGCTTATCATCTAATTGTTTCTTTGCTGTTCTAGCCATGTTTTTTTTTTTTTTGCAACACGTTTTGTTTGATAACTACATATAAAATATGTTCTATTATAGTATACCTGATAAAGATTAAACCTGATAGTCTACAACTTGTAAGAATAATATTTTTTGTTTTTACATTGACTTGACAACTAGGAATTTATTCTATCGTTACTTATTTTTTATACCTCCGATGTATTGAAGTAAATTATTGATTTATTGTAATTGTAATTAATTTATGGATGTTACCTTAATCCAATTATTTCTAATAAGTTTCTTTATTCAATTTCAGGGTTCATTACGTGAATACAACATGGACGATCTTGAATTAGATCAAGTCACACAGGTGATAGGTTATCATCCAAAATTTCTCGATCATTTTCTACGAACTCAAGATTTTATTATGAACCGTGATGGACCATTGCCATATGAGTATAGATACTATTTGGCTATAATTGTAAGTATTAAGCTGTTATGATTTGCTTAAATACCTAATATTGTATTTTTGAGGTGATTTCTAGTGATGATACAGATTTTAGCTTCATTCTTTACAAAGAATTTAATACATTATTAAAAGCATTATGACAACTTCTATATTCTTGTTAGCAACGAATTAATTGATAGATCAAAACTGAATTTTGACTATGAAAGACGAGTATATACTAGTATTTAATACTTTTTATGCAAAAGGTGAAATAAAGCTTTCCCACCTTTCTGACTAAACAATAAATTGTGTTCAAAGTTTATTAATATATTAATTAAACTTACAAAGTATTACGTCGAACATTGACGATGTTCAAGCTTATTTATAATTAATGTTCTAATGTATGTTCAAGTTATGAATTCATAGATATGGTACTATTTTTCAGAATATGTGTTTAAGTTGGTTCTTCTAATATAATATACAAGACAAGATACAAGATATTATGATTTTATCATTTTCTTAATTTTATTTTATAAAAAAAATGCAGATCTCAAACGAATCAAATAGACCGCCTGAGTTATCTCATTAAATCCGTTTAATTCAATAATCAAATGCCACTCTGTATTTTAATTATAATCAAATACGGCCAAACTTCCATAACTCGAAGTACCATTTTCAAAGAAAAGGGTTGATTTATTGGGACTTCGAGTTAGAGAATTTTTTTTTTTTATTTTTGAAAGAAACTAGAAGTACTTTTTAAGATATTTACTCGTATTTATTTAAAATCAAATACAGCACAGAAGTTATACTGAAGTAAAATATTCAGAAATTAGGGTTTGAGATTTTAATTTTTTTTTATTTTCAGTAAAAATAAATTCCTATCGAAGCCTAATAGTGATCTTCAGTTGTATTTTGAATGAATCATGTACTTCACTCTTGGAAGGCTGACGGTTAATTTCATCCACCAAACCCTTATCATCACTTTCCGTTGCTCTTAGAATCGAATCCACTACCATAATTCAGAGTTTTATAATGCTCAATAATATCGTCATCTGTAGAAAAGCTTGAATTTTATGGTCAAACTCAATATAATCGTTAAGAATATCATTGCAAGTTGTTATATTTACTTTACTTTTACATCAATTCATGGTCTTCATCAATGTTATTCAAGAAAACTAAAGGAATATGTAGTTCTGTTCGTCCCATGTAGTAAATTGGCCAAATCCAGCTTTTTTAAAGCAGTGCGCTATCGTTTGACTACTTACATCAATGTATCAAGCTTTTGTTATATGATTTATGCAATCCATAGGTGTAATAATCCTGCTTCTTGTTTGCTTCTATACGCTTTAGCGATTCCTTTACGATTCTGTTGTGTGTGTTAGTTACACTGTAAATTTTGAATTACTCCCGGATCAAGCGGTTGCAATTTAGGTCATATTCGGTAGAACATATGTCGGTTCTATTGATGCCAGCGAATAGCATTTGTACAAAAAAGCAACATAAACAAGAAAAAATTAAAGATTTGGTTTGGAAAAAGGGACTTCCCCTAACACCAAAATGGATTCATACTTAAAACGAAATTACGACTTATAGAATGCACTTTCCCCCATTCCTATTGGCACGTGACAATATTTTTATTAGAGTTATAGAGAAATTCGAGTTATAGAAGTTAGAGTTATGGAAGCAGAATTGTATGTAATTTGCTCTCTAAAACCCTGTTGCACTCTTTTTAGTTCGAGTAATAGAAAATCCGAATTATAGAAAATTCGAATTATGGAAGTTCGAATTATGAAAGTTTGACTGTATATAGTGTTATAATTTTGCTACAAAAAAAAAAAAACTCAAAATTTGTTTAACACACTTTATATTGAAATAAATGCTATTTATTGTAATAAACGATTAAGCTTATGGTAGATTTAGTATAAAATGTAAACGTTATTGTGTCATCACTTTCCAACGATAATTCGCCTGTTGTTGATATTGAAATTGACATTTATTTAAAAAACACCCTTTATAATAAGTGTTGCTGTGGTGTGGCGTGCCGTAAAACACATTAAACTAAATTTATTTCGTTTAAGCGACATAGAAATATAGTAATCAACACCTACGGGCATACGCTAAAAATAATAAAAACAATTATTTTTAATTTGCAAATATTTTTATTTTGTTTATTTTGCTGCAGAGCTTTGTTTTGTTTATTAATTATATTAAAAGCCTATTAAAATTTGTTTACATTTTGATGCGTCATTGGCAAATAAAAAATCTATATAAAAATCTATTAATTTAAAGGCGTTGCATCGAGAACAGCCTTAAAGTTAATAAGAAAACTGCATCTCGAAATTTTGCATTTCTGTTTTCATTACGTTTTGTTTTTATTGAGTCTCTAAGGTCTTAAGATTGTTAAAAGTGCAATAAAAAAATAATTATTTGTAAGAAAATTACTTCCCGTCTGACCGATATTTCATTTTAAACCATTAAATTTATGCGTTTGAAAATTCAAAACATATTTCATATAATCACGCTTTAATAGAAAACGATTTTTACTAAAATATATTGGAACAGAATGTGCTTATACGTTCGCGGGCCAATACAAATCACTGTACAGATTGGAGGACCGCAGAAACAAATACATACGTCCATAGTTGTTTTTGGCGAAAATAAAAATACGGTTATAATGTTAAATTTATTTTTATTAATTCATCAATTTAAATTAATTTATTTGGTATATAATAAAAATAAAGTAATGTAGTTTTACCAGTCCATCAAAAGAAAATTTAGGTAAATATAGTAGATTAAAAACATGTCGCGTGCCGCACAAACATTATCCGCGGGCCGCATATAGTCCGCAGGCCGTGATTTGGACAGCCCTGCTTTAAAATATTACATGTGCACAGTGTGAAAGGGCAAATGTATTGAATTTACAATCCTTATAAAAATACTACCGAGACAATATGAACCATATATATATTTTTTATTAGCTTAAGAAACCAAATTAATTTAGACCCAGTGCGCACTTGCGGCAAATGTCCACACATTCACAATGCGTGCATGATGGTAAGATCGTAGAATAAAGCGTGGAAAACGGGAATACGCATCTGGATGTTGATTATTTTAGATTTAATCCAAATAAAGCATACACTGTGTACAAAAAATATTATATTAGTCTAAAAATATTAAAAATTTTTTAACCATTTCTTAGTTGTATATCAGACTTTCACGAAACAAACACAGTAAACATAATATTTGCCAGTTATTACAACTTTGAAAGGCTGCGGTTACATTGTATACGAATTTTGTCTTGCGTGTTCGTACATATGTTTTCTCATGCGAACAAATCACATGTTGCGGTTAAATTGCTTGCGAATTGACAGTTCTGTATTTGTATAGTGAAGATGATATATATTTAACGGAAAATTGGTTATCAAGTTATTATTTAATTTCAAATCAAATCAAATATTCGCATGAGAAAGACAAGACGTCGCGCGAATAGTTCTCAGCAATTGTAACCACTCACATATGATTACATACATTTGATTTGTTCGTACGAACACACAAGACAAAATTCGCATTCAATGGAACCACAGCCTAATAAAGTTGTAATGTTCAATGATATACAAAGCTCATATTGAAAGAATATTTACTTATTAACTCATTACTAATGGGCGTTTTTTTAGCTGCATAAGAACTATCGATTTTGATAACTTTGGTTTGAGAGCTGAGAATATCAAACTGTGTTGACATTTCTGTTCCGTAAGGTTGATCATGAATCGCTCAACGGTAGAACAACGATTCCAAATTGTGGAAATTTTGAGCATTTCGTCGAGTGCTGTTTAGTGATGAAAGTCATTTTTGGTAAATGGCTACGTCAAAAAGCAAAATTGCCGTATATTGAAGCGGAAATAATTTTGTAGCCGTTAATGAATTACCAATACATCCATTAAAATTGACTGTTTCGTGCGATTTACATGTTGGCGGCATCATTGATCCTTATTCTTCATTCTTTCGAAATGAAGAAGGAGCTGCCATTACAGTGAATGGGCGCTTTCGAGTTAGGCTGACTGAATTTTTGTTTTCAAAAAAGAATCAGTTAAACATCGACGACATTTGATTCTAACAAGACGCAAAACTGTGCAACTTGCCATACAACGCGCTTAACAATGGATTTATTGCGAAATTAATTTGGTAACAACTTTATTTCCAGAAATGGACCCGTTAACTGGCCCTCTCATTCGTGCAATTTAACGCCTCTCGATTACTTGTTATGGGGCTATGTTAAGTCTTTGGCTTATGTCGACAAACCAGCAGCTCTTGACTGGTCGAATGACCATGTAACTCGTAGCCGCGGCGGAGTCATTTATTCATGTTCAATGAATAAATGCCATGGAAATCTGGAATTATCCACCAGATTATAATAAAAAAAATTTCATTGCAATAATATTTGTATCTTGTATTATGATTTTAAGTTCTCATGCAACTTAAAAAACTCTTTCTTTTATATATTGCGTATGTACTTTTGCCTGGTTGAAGTCTGCAGCAAGACTTAATGATATTTGATCATTTGAATGTCTGGTTGTCAGTATACTAGGCTTCCCGTTCTTAAATAAAACTTCGCTAATCGAGCTTTTGCTTAACCAGGCAAAAATTTTTAGAAATAAATGAATTCAGTTGACAATAAGCAATTCAAAAAAACTTTCAAAAATATGATTACATTGGATTTGGCAAAAAGTTTTAATATATTAAATAAGATCCAAGTATTATATGCTTCATAAAAGCGCTCGATCTTGTTCGTTTTGAAAGAATTTGCTTAGGGGACATCCAATAATCATGTTTTTTTTTTGTTTCGCAACCGCTCTCATACTGATCATTTTGAGCTGATATGTGTACCCACATTTTATTGATAATAGGTTAATCAAAGTGGAGAACATTTCCCATATGCAAATGTATATAATGACTTAAGAGTATGAATCTGTTTCTAGAGTTATTGAGGTAGAATAAGAAACCATAAAAAGCTAAAATTTCGCTTGTTTATGTCGTATTTTTCCTTTTATCTTACTGGCGTCCATAGCGTTGTGAGGTTTAGTGAAGCAACAAACTCAAACGCTGAAGCAGCAAAGACTTTCTTGGGAGATTTCAAAAAGCTTGTATAATGACAATTACTTGCTCCAATAGGTCATTATTGTGACGACACGGGCTTTTGTTGGAAAAATATATTCAAACAAACCAGCGGAAGACTGCCCTTTTCCATTTTTTCCACATATGAAACCGGCGATTTGAAAATAAAACAATTTCGCGTCTATCATTCATAGAATTCACATTCCTAAAAGTTAAAAAACAAGCTAAAGGGCATATGGAGATCCAACAGTAAAGCTTGAGTGACTCGTGACCTTTTTACTGAATAATAAAGTTATTTATTTATATTTGATTGAGATAGATTTACCATTTTGTGTCTTGCTTCTTATGCACAACTCTCCTTCTCATCGTCAATATGAAATCATTGAAGAGTTTAATTTCATTTAAGTTCTTGTTTCCTAACACACACTACTCCATTTCTTCAGCCTATAAACCAATAAATTATTTCTAATTTCAAGAAGATATACACCAGAGATGTGCAGCCAATGGCTAATGGCGTCAACAACAACATACGTTAGTTTCAACGAATTAATTTACAAAATTATTTTCCCAGAAAATTATATAATTGTAAATACGTTTTTATTGCAAACCCCTCTGAAAATCCTAAAATTTCTTAAATAGTAGGCAGAACTATACGGACAAATCAATACAGATAACTTCTTAACGCATCATTATTTGTAGCAGTAGTGAATATCGTTTGCAGCTATTCAAAAACCCAGTAGAGAACGGATCGATCCTTCATCGAAGACGTCTCGAAGACATGTACGCATGCCTGCAAACCGATCGATGCAAATGTATGACGGTCTTCGAAGATATTTTCGAACAAATTAGCCAAATGTCTTCGAAGACATTTTGACTACATGTTTCGAAGACTTGAAGCGTCCATGTAAATTTTGTTTCTCTTTAAATAACTAGAAAGAAATTTGTACGTAATTATTTTTTGTTATTTATTTTCTATACATATTTTATATTTTTTTATATTTTTATATTTTTTTTTATTGTTTATTTTTCGTTGAGAAAATATAATTGCATTAGGTATATAGTGTACGTGCATCGGTTCGTAAAGAAATGATTTTTGGATGCATTTGGGTTTCCGATTTACGTGATTAAAATTTTTTTGTTGTGTATTCATAAATATTCTAGGAAGTCAATCCAGCATTTGAAGAAATTTTCTCGTACATAGTTCTCATTAGTTATAAATTCATATGGCACATAAAAATATGCTTCTAAGCACTACAAATTATATTAACTAAATTAAAAAAACAACTATAGATCTATATTTCTTTCTTACATCTCTTTCTTTGTGATTTCCAACTTATAGTTTGAAATTGTGAAGCGTAATAAATTATAGTTCCACGAGAGAGATTACATAAATATTTTTTTTTTCATAAGGCGGCCGCACGTCACCAATGCGTATATTTAGTCAAAATGTATGAAAAGGAATTCCTTAACCAAGGAGGTCAACCTGAATGGTTGAATGGATTGGATTGTATTCCATCGAAATTATATGCTATCTACGAGATAAATAAAATATTAGCACATAGACCATGGCTGTTGCGCAAGGAGCTAATAGAAGTAAGCGTTAAATATTTAATTAGATGAAAATCTCAAATAATGTCTACATAATTTTTGCAGCGTTTGACAAAGGGTAAAAATAGTTGGTCATTGTCAGAGGTCGTTCATGCTATGGTGTTACTCTCACATTTTCATTCATTATCATCCTTTGTATTTTCTTGCGGCTTAACACAAAAGCTAGACGGCCTTTCTAGTCCCAAATTGAAGTCGTCACCTGCTATATTGCCTTTTCCTACATTAAACCAAATACCAGATATGCAGCAACAACATTTACAAATGCAACAGTTACAAATGCAACAGCAGCAACAACAAAAAGCTGTTTTAAGTGAAATTACTTTGAATAATAAAAATCTTGATGATCACAGCAGTTATGAAATTCACAATAATTCAGCGAGCGGAAATATTGTGAACGTAATTGGTGTGTGCCTAAAAGCCACGACACCGCTACCACTTCAATTCTCCTTGGCCCCTGTGCAAAGTGTTGTTGAGGCGATAATGGAGCGTATGAAAGTGCTTTCCGAAAAACAGGATGAATGTAGCGAAGCAGAATTAAGTAATCGTTTTAAGAACGTTGAAATGCAGACTGCTGAACTACCAGCTGCTGCACCGGAAACTGCTGTCGAAGTGCCACAAAATATATCCCATTATATAAAAGATCCGACATTTACCTATCAAGACTTTGCTCGAAGAGGTGCTGAAAATATTCCAAATACTTTTCGTATACAAGATTACTCATGGGACGATCATGGCTATTCACTTGTAAATGAGTAAGTTTTCTTAACATATTCCGATATTCTTAATTTGGAAGTTTATCAATATTTAGTTTATATGGTGATGTTGGCACACTTTTAGACCAAAAATTTCGTGCCGCGTATAATTTAACATACTTCACTATGGCTGGCATTAAAAATGTAGACACATCAAAATTTCGGCGAGCCATATGGAATTACATACAGTGCATATTCGGAATTCGACATGATGATTACGACTATGGCGAAGTGAATCAAGTGAGTAATCATTACTTAATTTATTAATTTAGAGGAAATTAAATAAATACAATTACAGTTAAATATTAAGTTGATGTCGTTATAGAGTAGTTTCCAAAATTATGAATTTTTGATTTTATGCTCAATCCTATCTAATAATTCAATGTGCATAATTTGAGCCCTCTTCTTACTAATACATACTAAGTTTAATAAAATGAAAGTTAGTATCTCATTGTTACAGTTCTTGTATTTTTCGACACAATCAATAATGTTTTTGTTACCATAACTCAGGAAGGTACACACACGCAGTCTTAGAACCCTAAATTGTGATATAAAATTTTTTTGAAAAGTTATGAAATTATAGGTGCTATCGACAAGAAAAAGAAGAAAATGTGACAGTTGAGATCTATTTAGGGAATCTTTCAAAATGCATTATGTGAAGTCAAATTGTTGCTTATGATGTGAAAATAGTTTACTACTTTTTATGTAAAAGTGTAGACAAATAGGTGGCTTTATAGAGACCTTTGTTTTAGTTTCAACGAATATATAGAATCAAAGGTTTTCTATAAGTGTACGGAGACTGAAATTTCGTCTCGATCAATAGAAGTTTAAATGAATACATATAAAATAGCTAGGTTACTTTCAGTATCTATTTAAATCTGTCAGTTAATTTAATACCAACAATGGTGTTGATGCGTTTCACCAGCAATGATGTTCCATATCAATAACAGATCTATTGAAGAAAACAGAAATCTCACAGGTACCACCCAGCTTGAATTACGGAATAATTCTACTCATATTCCACAAGTTTGGGACATTATTCCGAACTGGGACATTATCCTAGCTGAAAGACGTAATTTAAATGTAGGTCATAACAGAAATACCAATGGCGATGAGCTTTTTGACCATCAACCCCGAGAATCAAAGGCTGAAACTTTGTACACTCAATTATATTGCGTATAATGTGGACTGTGAACAGTGTGGCATATTGCGAGCATTTTCAACTGGAGATTTCAAGAAGCGCAGAAATCCTCATAACAAAAAGTTTTCCCGTTGCTTTGAGCAACGCTTAGAGTTTTTAAAATCTGATTTTTTTTGAATTGACAAATGGTTAGATAACACTTTAATGGTAGTTTTTCTTACATTTTATATGAAGTGGGTTTTGCAAGTCGTAATAACTCTTAGACTGAGGAAGATAAATAAATGTTAATGATTCTAGTATGGTTAAAGTTTAGTGTGGAGCAGGAATAAGCCCTCTAGTCACAAAAGAATAAAAGTACACAATAGCACTAAGTCAACTTACAACAACAACAATAACAAGTGAGGAGCAATACATATAGGAATAATATATATATAAACAAATTTTATATTTTTAATATAAGATTCAATTATGAACTTTTTTATTTTTTTTACAGCTTCTAGATCGGCCTTTAAAAATGTTTATAAAAACAGCTTGTTGCTTTCCCGAAAGGATAACTACAAAAGATTATGACAGTATACTTGTGGAATTGCAAGATAGTGAAAAGGTATATAAAAAATGCAATATATATTTTTTTCATTTATTTGTATATTATAAAATGAAAATGACAAATATATGTGTCTTTTTATAAAATACATTGGTTTGTCTTATATGAAATATGTATAAATTATATTTCTTACTCTTTGGTCTTTAGGTGCACATTAATTTGATGATAATGGAAGCCAGAAACCAAGCGGAATTGTTATATGCCTCGCGTGAAATTATGCGCTATAGGACATGATCTCATTAAAAATTATTTAATTTTATAAAAAAAGTTTTCGAAAAATAGATATATAAATAATAAATAATATTTTTATACTAATCTGCGTTAGTTTTATTTAAATAAAGAAATTGTTTAACCCATGAAAACATACTTTTCAGATATATACTGTAATAATCACTCATTTCTAAATTTTAGTGGTTATTCTTAGTTAAATTTACCAAATATATTTTAAATAATAATAATAATTTACTCATATTTTGTATTGCCATTTAATTTTTAAAAATTGTAAAATAAGGCGAGCATATTTTTAAGTTTGTTGGTTATATCGAATTGAAACTGATTTATTTCAAAATTTGATTCGTTTTACATATTTAGTTGATTTTGATACAAATGAAAATTGTTTTGTGATTTTTTTATTGTTCATTTTTTTGTTATTTGTTAGCTAATATTATCTTGCTTCTCATATGCTTCCATTAAAAATGTTTAACATTGTATAAGAACTAATTTTATATGTTTATACGTATATTATATTTTATGTAAAAAAATTATCTTTTTTTAAAACTTAGTGAGCCCAGCCCTAGCCCATTAGCGTAGTCTGGGAACTTAGTAGAGTATATGTGGCAAAGATAATAGGTCTGTTCCACAAGTTACTCGTAGTAAAACTCAAGTAAAACACAAGTAAAGTACAAACTGAGAGCGTAACACAAATAATGTGTCTAATTATGCTCTTTACACAGATTTTCATGGAACAGCTTTGTGTAAAGTCTGGTGAAAACACCAGTGCCGTGCAAATAAACAATACAAAAATTTAAATTCAAACCAAAACAGCTGATTCACACATCACACAAATTTTACTTCAAATAAAATCTACGAGTAAAGTCTACGTAGCATTTTTAAATTACAACAGGGATGTTACGCACTCACAGATGCTCTCATTTACTCGAAAATTCATTGGTGGAACGCACTTGTGCATACACAGTGTTACTCAAAGTTACTATGAGTAGCTCGTGGAACAGACCTATTATTTTGTTAAAAGCTCGGCTTATGAGACAATCGATCTTCTTCCTGGCTACGCTCATATGCATAATCCATAATATTAATTACCGATTTTAACAAAATTATTCCCGTCAAACAAAAAAGAAAAAGCAAATAAATAAATAAAAGTTCGAAAAGTAATGTTACTCGTATTTTTATAATTGCGTTTTTTTTTTCTTAAAAGAAATTTAGTGAAATGTAAATAATGTAAAAATGTATAAATAAAATAGCATAAAAGAAAATTGAATAAAAATATGTAGAATAAATAATTTTTTCATATGTGAAATGATTTTTGATAACTTATACAAATTTAAAAAAAAATTATGTTGAAACTAGCAAAATTAAATAAATTTATTTTGTGAACTTTTTAAATAATGTATTACCAAATGTTGGCAAAAGAAACGATTTTATAGTTGTATAAATTCATAAATTTTGTAAATTTCATACATAAAATTGTATTGTTACCCTTTTTAAATAAACAAAAATACTATTTATAAATAAACTATTACTAATAATATATATAAAGGACGTTTTATTCTATAATGAACCATACAAAGACAAGATATCCTTACGAAAAGCTATTATACATTCCTATGAGTGAAATTTCCCAATCTCAGGATTGGGAAAATTTTCCGGTCAATTCACAAAGAAATAGCAAAAAATAGAGAGACACTAGAATATATGAGAAACATACATTTTGTAAATTGTAGTCGCTCTTAGGAATTTTGAAAACAATTATCATAACGGTGTAAAAAATATTTGTAAAAAATCTATACACATTTAGTAAAGCATCACCGTGAGATGACATCACTGTTGAAGCAAATGATGCAACAAATCGTAGTAATGACAAATTTACTGATCAACTTGACGACTAAACAAAATTCTTGATTTAGTAGTAGTCATATGGAACGCTAATGGTCTATCAAAACATGCTATCGAAATAAAAGCATTTTTAAAATTAAACCAGGTCGACATAATGCTAGTATCAGAAACCCATTTCACGGCGCGTAGTTTCTTTAAAATTCCGAACTACGAACTTTATCACACAATGCATCCCAGTGGTAAAGGAAATGGTGGCTCTGCTGTCCTCATAAGGAACTCGATAAAACATTATGAAGCAAAAGCATATTGCAAGAATGAAATCCAGGCAACAAACATTGTAGTACAAACTAAAGAAGGCGACATGACTTTCTCATCACTCTACAGCCCACCGCGCCACAGTATCACGAAAGATATGTACATATCATTTTTTCAGCTGCTTGGACCTAGGTTCCTAGTAGGCGGAGATTTTAATGCTAAACACTTAAAATGGGGTTCCCGCCTAATATCTCCAAAAGGACGTCAACTCTTCGAAGCAATAAATGTACTCAACCTCCACACAATCTCAACAGGTGAACCCACATATTGGCCAACGGATAGAAGAAAAATACCTGACTTAATTGATTTTGCGGTATCAAAGGGGGTACGTATTGAAACAACTACCTGTAAGTCCAATTTCGACTTGTCATCTGACCACTCGCCAATAATAATCACTCTCAATGACTGCTGTGAAATTATGGAAAAATGTATTCTTCATAATAAAAACACTGACTGGAATAGTTACCGTCAACTAATTTCAATTGGTCTAAATACCGAAGTCAGGTTAAAAACTGAATCTGACGTAACTGAAGCAGTAGAGCATTTCAACTCTTGTGTCCAAATGTCTGCATGGGAATCAACTCCACCAATTTCTAAAAGTGTTAAGCTAGATTATCCATTTAACATTAGATACCTGATTAAAGAAAAGCGTAGGATGAGAAAACATTGGCAACAGTCGAGATTCCCTGCGGATAAAACTCGCTTAAACAAACTGTGTAAACTCGTTAAAGCCCTTCTTTTAAAGTATAACAATAATCGCACGTCGCTATACCTTCAAAACCTAAGTGCTTCATGTGATACAAAATATTCCCTTTGGAAAGCCATAAAAAAGAACAACAGACCGATTGTCTATCAACCACCTATACGCAAAATCGACAACTCATGGGCAAAAAGCGATATTGAAAAAGCAGAAACATTTGCGTTACATTTGGACAAAGTCTTTAAATCAAATGATAACCAAAATATGCCTGATGTCATGAATCAAAGGATTAATTTTCTACAAGAGCCTTATCAATTGGAACTTCCAATTAAAAGATATACTATTAATGAAGTTAGAGATGTAATAACAAAGTTAAAAGTAAAAAAAGCTCCAGGATACGATTTAATCACAGGCATGGCCTTGCAGCAGCTCCCACCAAAAGGTTTTGTATTTCTCACTCATCTATTTAACGCTGTGATAATAAGGGGGTTTATTCCGCCACAGTGGAAGATAACGCAAATCTCCATGATACCGAAACCAGAGAAAAGCCCAGAAGACGTCAAATCATATCGGCCAATAAGTCTACTTCCGATCCTGTCAAAAGTTATGGAAATCCTGTTTCTAAAGCGCCTTACTCCGTTTATCCAACAAAACAGACTCATACCTGACCATCAATTCGGCTTTCGCCAAAATCATAGCACAATAGAACAAATTCACAGACTTGTCAGACATATCCATAGTGCGATAGATGGTAAAAAATATTGCACTGCGGCATTTATAGATATTTCACAAGCGTTTGATCGAGTATGGCATGAGGGCCTCCTGTTCAAACTAAAACTGTATCTACCTCTAAATTTTTTCATATTTATAAAATCATACCTCTCGGCTAGGCACTTTTTCGTTAAGCATGGAAACGAAACTACAGTACTTCATGATATAGAAGCAGGAGTACCTCAAGGTAGCATAATGGGACCAATGCTTTATCTTTTATTTACTGCGGATCTTCCCCTTACCGATGAGAGTGTTATCGGTACATTTGCAGACGACACAGCTATTTTATCAGTTGACAGTGACCCCAAACTTCAAACCTGCCTTGATAATGTTGCTCTCTGGATGATAAACTGGCGTATTAAACCGAATGAATCAAAATCTGTCCAGGTAACATTCACTACAAAACGTTCTACGTGCCCGCCGGTCTTAATTAACAATACTCAATTACCACAAGCTGTAGAAACAAAATACTTGGGCATACATCTGGATAGTAAGCTAACCTGGAAATCGCACATATTCAAAAAGCGTAAAGCCTTGGGTCTTAAATTACGAAACTTATTTTGGTTCCTCAGCCGAAATTCCAAACTGTCACTCGACAATAAGCTGCTTATATACAAATCTGTACTTAAACCTATATGGAGTTATGGGACCCAATTATGGGGTACTGCAGCAGACTCAAACCTGGCAATTATACAGCGCTTCCAATCTAAAACACTACGAATGATCACAAACGCACCTTGGTATATAACGAATGAACAGCTACATAAACAATTACATGTTCGAACAATCAAGGAAGAAATAGCAAGTATTTTAAAGAATTACGCTCAACGCTTATATATGCACCCAAACCCTCTGGTTACTCAACTGATGTCCCCTTCCAATACCTTTACAAGGCTGAGAAGAAAAACATCGCGAGACATTTTAAATATGTATATGTAGACAATACACTTTTATTTTAAATATATATGGATATGTCACTGGTCATAGTCCATACGTGCCTTTCTTTTTATATCGTAATAACCATTATTACGATTTAAATTTATATATATTACTTATTGTCATTCATTCCTGACAGATTGTAATAAAATAAATTGGAT